TCCACCCCCTCCTCCACCACCAAGCGCAGGCAGAGGTAGGGCAAGTCTACCTGGCCCGCCAGCTCGAGCGCCTGCTCCAGTGGCCGCACCAATTACAAAGAAACCTGCACCCTTGAAACCCCTTCATTGGGTCAAGGTTACCCGTGCTTTACAGGGGAGTTTGTGGGCAGACTATCAGAAACAGCAGGATTCAGCAAGGTAAAACTTTCTAAAATTTCTGAAATGTCAAAACTACTACGTACTTCGTATTTTTGTTGATTTGCTCAATGGTTAGCTTTAGAGAAAATGAAAGGCTAGTGCCCTGTGTAGGTTGGAATGGATATTTGAAGGTGAGACGTTTCAAGATAGTATTATTTTAAATTTTTTCCTGCATATCTTCTGAACGAAGTTCTGAATCAACAGGGCACCTGATATTGATATGTCGGAATTGGAGGCATTATTTTCAGCAGCAGCACCTGCCTCAAGTGGTGCTGCAGCAGATAAGCTGGCTAAAAAGACTGCTATCAAGCAAGAAAAAATTCATTTGGTACGGCTCGGTTCTGCTTACAGTTTATGTTACCTAGAATGGCCAAAATTGTGTGATAATGTGAATTCGTGTTGAATATTTTGAGTCAATGCAGGCAACTAGGTAATCTTTTTATACTATTAAATTTTCATCTTTTGTGCAGGTTGACATGCGAAGGGCAAACAATTGCGAGATTATGTTGACGAAGGTCAAAGTTCCGTTGGCAGAAGTGATAGTAAGTCGTCTGAAAAACCGTCTCCTCTACTTTTGATGGCTATCTTGCAAAACACTGAGCTGAGGTATTGCGATTCCTTGTTGGCATGCTGTTGGTTGGCCCTATGAGAGTAGAATCTTATTTCTGTTACTTAATATTATGTGTAGAGTGGAGTTCTTGCCTTGGACCCAGCTGTATTGGATACAGATCAAGTGGAAAATCTTATCAAGTTCTGCCCAACGAAGGAGGAGATGGATATGTTGAGAGTAAGTTAATTAACATTTTAATTGTATGGCTGTTGTGTTTTTAATGATTGATCACGAAGGTGATTGGATATCAATGATTATAAATTTTGCATACTCATTATTCTACTTGTAATTACTTTACGAATGTTTTCTGTGTTATTTCAGAACTTTACTGGTGACAAAGATACCCTTGGAAAATGTGAACAGGTACATCTTGGACTTTCTTGTTGTGTTCTCCTGGCTATGTATCTTTATCAATGGTATTAGTGATTGCTTTTTCAGGTTATTGCAATTTTTTGGTTATCATTCCTTGAAGTGGAAACAATAGTTTGTTCAAACGAGAATTAGATTATGTCCGTATAATAATCGTGTTTATTACTTTGGCTGTTTGCAGTTTTTTTTGGAAATGATGAGAGTTCCGAGGATAGAAGCCAAGTTGCGTGTCTTTTCGTTCAAGATCCTTTTTAGTCAACAGGTGAGTATTTAATGTTAACTAGTTGTGTATTACACTGTACGTGAAGATTTTGTCGTAAGCATTTATACAAAATCTTTTCCACGTAACAAGGATACCTTCAAAATTCCTTTTTGTTGCCATTATTAACACAAACATTCCAAATGGGATAGCATCCAAGCCACATTTTTAGTCCATGCACGGCTTATGTAGACTGCATCTTTCTGTGCAAGCGAGTGTCACAAATTAACCAGTTCTGTGTTATCCACTAATTTTCTTACATATCGCAGATTAGTGAGCTGCGGGACAATCTATTGGTTGTAAACAATGCTTCAAGACAGGTGAGTGTAATTTTTTTTTCTCACTTTTCCTCAAGCTGTCGTAGATTTGTGTTACCTGTTAAGATCCAGAGTCAGAAACACGTCCAGAGAAGGTGCGGCGTTTCAGAATAATGAAGTGAGCTCTTTGTCAAAGATAGACAAATGAGTGACGTGGTAATAACTGCTGTGACTTCCATGGTTGTGAGTATTGTTTTCAACGAATGGCAGAAGACATTACCTGGAAAGCTAAGCAGATTCTGGTAGAGTTGTGTTGACATGATCAAGGCTAGTATTTATGTTCGTCGTGTTGTTCCAGGTCAGAGAATCTTTAAAGCTGCGACGAGTAATGCAAACTATCCTGTCCCTTGGCAATGCCTTGAATTCTGGAACAGCTCGAGGTTTGTCACATAACGTCCTGGAATCTTTTGAACCTACATTTAGACTTTTCAAGAGTTCTCTACAGTTATATAGCAGCTTCTTGGTTGCCTAATATTATATCCTCTATGAGATTCTGTTATTGTGGGATTCTGGTAGTGAAGCAGATTACATGTTTCCTTTAGATCCTAACATACTTGAAACATGTGAAAGACAGGCTCTGCCATTGGTTTCAAGTTGGACAGCCTTCTTAAGCTTACTGATACTCGTGCTCGGAACAATAGAATGACTCTCATGCACTATTTGTGCAAGGTGATCTATATTTCATCCACTGTTTGCAGATATCGAAGGATGACATTATTCAATCTCTTAATTTTGGAAATGCTTTTCTTTTTCTCAAATGCGATACGCTCCTGAACTTATTCCTTATTTTGTGCTGCTCACGTTTAATTATTTGTGGATTATGTAGGTTGTAGCTGATAAGTTGCCAGAACTTCTTGATTTTGACAAAGATTTACAAGATCTGGAAGCAGCAACTAAGGTACTTAAATGACAACTTGTCTTATTTATATTGTACTAATTTTTTACGTGTGGTTGCGTGTGTGTGTGTGTGAGAGTGTGCATAATTTCATTTTGTTTCATTTCCGGGATAGACCAGTTATCAGCAAAGTCTGCTTTGATGTCTATATACGCCCTTGAAACTACAACTTACTTATGTTAAATAGGAAATTCCTTTCATCCTGTCCAAGTATTTTTTAATGTACAGAACTGTCTAGGCTTGCGATTGTTACAAGATATGATACAGCAACCATTAGCCTGCATGATTAAACTTGCCAACTCGATCTAACATATGTGGTGGATTCTCAGATTCAACTGAAGTCATTGGCAGAGGAAATGCAAGCAGTGAGCAAGGGTCTAGAGAAAGTGGAACAAGAGATTGCTATGTCAGAGAATGATGGTCCTGCATCTGCGGGTTTCCGGCAGGCATGTCTTAGCTGTACTTAATTGGTATCATGATGCTTATAATGCATATTTATAACCCGATTAGAGATTATTGCAAATAAGTGGATAAATTTTAATGACTTTCACTACAGGTGAATTTCAAAGTTACGAGCTGCTATGATGTGGGTTGTATCTTTGTGGGTGTCGTGTGGTGGAATTTTTCCTGAAGTATCTGATGGTTTAAGGCTCTTTTCTTATATTTTCTACATTTTCAGACTATCTTCGGATTCACTCATCAATTCCCAACTTGTGATCAGGTATCTAAGGAATTTCTTAAAACAGCAGAGTCCGAAGTACGCGCATTGGCTTCTTTGTACCTTGAAGTGGTAGGATTTCTCATCCAATTTGGCTTTCTTTAGAATTGTAGCATTCCATCAGCTGTTGTGAATGCAGTGGTTTCTGATACAAACCTATTTTATCGTCAGATTTCATTGGTTAAAGTATTGCAGAAGATATTGGATTGAGGTCTTTAGAACTCTTTATAAAAATACACTTGTTCCCCAGAATAGTTGGTGTTCTCATGGAATAAGATTCTTTCTTACAGTGAACGAGCATATCAGTTACTACCGCCAATGGCCTGCAACCTTTCTGTGATGTGGTTTTAGTTTGCATTTGGTATTTGTATTGATTGCATAGCAATGACAAGCAATGCGGTGTTACAGGGCAGGAATGCAGATTCACTTGCTCAATATTTCGGCGAGGATCCGGCGAGATGTCCATTTGAACAAGGTACTCATTGAAAATGACTTCATTTTAGGCTTGGCGTAAGGATTTTCTGCTTTTACTACATTCTGTTTTTGAGATTATTTCACTAATATTCTTATTTTGTACGGTTTACAGTTATTTCAATTCTGTTCAATTTTATGAAAATGTTCAAACGGTCATACGAAGAAAACACTAAGGCAACAGAGATGGAGAAGAAAAAAGCTGAGAAAGATGCCAAAGACGCTGAAAGAGAGAGAATGAAATCTTCTCCTAAGGAAATAGACAGGAAGAGGTCGTTGCAAGACAGGAAAGAGGCAGATGCAACATTTTCTCCTTTGAGGTCCAGGATTGGATAGGACCTCCAAAACACGTCTCTGAAAGGGGCTTCAGCTAACATCTACTATGGAGGCTGTTCTTTGTTACTCCATCCAGCATGATTACTCCAAGATCATAGCAACAGCCCAGATCCACCCTTTTGTATTGGATTCAGGTTGTGTACAATTAACCCCATTAATTTTTTCTAGATAATTCTATTCCTTCATCAGGTACTTTGCATGCTCATGTTACTGGCCTACCCCGAAGAATGTGGGATTCAAGACCGTTTGGCAACTCGAGGTGATCAACATAGAGGAAACCTTGACAGAGGAAATTAGTCAGTGAGGGGCAATTAGTGTCCCCAATAGCCATGATAATTTTGTGTATGTCTAAGGTGTCGCAAGTAGGGTCACTTGTTCAATATTATACCATGAACAAAGGAAGTACTGTGGATGTAGTATGGGTAAATTCTACCTTTGTACAGTAACTTTGAGGACCAAATAGCTTTTGGATGTCCGAGGCTGGAATTATAACTTGCAAACACGGAGTCCTCCTTTTCAAGGTGGTTGGACTTGTTTTTGGGCTTCTGATGTGTGCTCAATATTTTTGATGTATACATTATTATTCTTCCCACCTAGTATGCGGTGTTCTGTGGAGGCACCTACACCAACTGAAGCCGATCAATCGGCTCACACGAAGTCTTTTCATTGAGCTCCCGTAAGTGCGAACTCCAATTTCTTAGTTTCGATTTTTGCTGTAACTTTGCATCATGATTTTGAGTTTGATCACTGTGAACTATGTGTTGCGAGTTTTATTATTTTTATGACTTTTTTCTGGCAATTTCTGTAAATTTGGCCAGAATTTTAGCACTACTTTTTTTTCTGTTGTTTCAGATGTTTACATCAGAGTTCCAACAGTCTTTGGTATTAATGTTTATTGAATTTTGTTTCAATTACAGCTTAACTGTCTGAAAATTCGTAGCTTTGAGATCTTGGACGTTAAGCGGATGGCTCTCGTCTTCTGCAGATACCTCCAGGCTTCATTTCTATTATTTCTGCTTGAAGTTTCCTGCAGAGATTCTTTTACTTTTTGGTAAGCCCCGCGCGTCACTGTTGGTGGGAGAACCTTGGAGTCGTAAGTTGAAGATCGCAAATAGCAATTTTTGGATGGAAAAAATCAGTATGACTTAATCTTCCGGCTTGTACCCACCAGGCACTCGGAAATCGAAGTACCTCATCTTAAGTAGCTTGCAGGCTTTTATCTTTTTCCAGAAGCTGGATCTAGGCTGTTTTCCATCTTATTTTTTGGGGAAGGAACTGAAGTTGGTGACTGAATTCTTTTTTCACCTTTGGGAGGATTTCTGAAGGTGTCAGGATTATCTGTGTTAAATGTATCGTAAAATACTTGGTACTTGGCTAACGTGTGCCTCGCATTTTTGGTGCAACTGTGCAACTCACTTCTCCCTAGTGTTGCACGCTGGTTGAACGACATCGTGGGTATCTTCTTATCTTTGTTTAGTGCTTTCTTCCTAGTCATGCCTCATTACTAGGCCACTTTAAATTACGGAAAGCCCTGAATACCTAAGTTAGCTTATTCTAAGGTCGTGGCAACATTTTATTTTAGGTGAACTAGGGATGGATGAAAGTCGTATATGGAGCTGTCCAAAAACATCCATGTCCATCAGATTTTACAGACTCTGTTAAATTGTTTTGAATGCAAAATACTCGAGCAAGAAGTCAATAAGATATTACCAATACTTGTCTATCTTCCACCCAATCACAAAGATTGCAAAGAAGTTGGATTCAACAATGCTAATATTAAGAAAAATGGAGGCTAATTTGCCATAGAACCTTTGAAGTTGTAGAAAATAGTCATTACACTTATCAATGGTGTCTTTGAAGGCACTCTCTTTATGATAGGTGTGCACCATTATTCTATGGTTGTTCTCAATATCCTTAATTGATTAAGCATCCCATCTAATCAATTCCAATTATGTCTTGTCTTAAGAAATCAAAATGTGTAAAAGAAACATTTACAATCCATAAAAATCATGAAGTAGGACTTTGGGAATGCCATCTTCATTGGCATTGTTGTTTCAATTGCATTGGGCAATAATGGTGGAGATGTCATTGATAAGATCAACAAACAAATTTGTCACCAAATGAATTACTTGTTTAGCCTCTTATGCAGGCAAATCAATCAATTTGCTCATGATAAATCTGTCTTGGTTTTGAATGAAGGCCTTTACATTCATGAGAGCAACACACTAAGATCCATAGATGGTATTGAAGATGCCATCAATCATGATAAGAGTCTCAACACTATGTAGATCTTGCACTTTGCACAATGATATAAACAATTCAATCAAGCCTTCTAGTTATGTTTTTTTGTTGATTCAATAGAGTATTAAGTCTTTGCAAGCATGTCGCAATGGTGGAGATTACTTTTGCAACATTGTCGAGTGTGAGTAATACCTCCCACTAATAAGGAGAGGGATACATATGAGCTTCTTCTAGCCAAGATACTTGCAAATTATTGCATGCCCTTATCGCAAAATTTCAGATAAATAATTTGCTAAATCTTCTATTAGAAGTTTATCAACTTTTGAGAAGTCAAAAGCATCAAGTTATAGATGATAATCATAATTAGCATAAAAAGTTATTTATTGTATAGAAGAATGTATTATATAGTTATAAAAAAATTCTTCCAATGATAAAAGAATTGTCAAATCATCTTATTAGTAGTTGATAGTATACTTCAAATATTGCTTCAAAACTTGGTTTATGCACTTTATGTGCCAATCAATTTGAGGATAAAAAATTAAAGATAGCTTTACGTCCACCTTTAAAATTTTAAAAAGGATTTTCTAAAATCTTAATATAAATTAAGTCTCCTTATTTGATATAATATCTTTGAACAATCCATGATAGTAATAGATATTGTGAAGAAAAAGCTTGGTTGTTTTTTAATCAATGATAGATTTTGTATATGGTACAAAATATACTATTTTGGTAAAGCAATCTACTATCACAAATAAAGAATCATACAAAACTAATATTGGATAATTAATGATAAAATCCATAGAAATAGAAGATCGTGGTTGTTTTGGAATAGATAATGGCTGAAGAAGTCCATAAGATTGATGATGAAGAATTTTTGATCTTGAACAAATGTCTCATGATTGTACAAAGTCTTTGACTACCTTTCATATTTGAGACCATTAAAAAAACTCTTGATATTAGTTTCAATATCTTATTGTATCCAAAAAATTTGATTGCTAAAAAATTATAATGAGCTTGAAGAATATGTAATCATATTTTGGCATTTAAAATATATAATTATTCCTTGAAATAAAATATATTATTTTTGAACTTGAACCTAGAATTTTTATGAAGCTTAGAAGAATTATCCTTAATATCCTAAATAAGAAGATCAAAGAATATACTCAATTGAACTTACTTAAGAGAGGTTGAATCAATTGTTAATGTTGATTTCATTATTCATAGATGAAAATGCTCTGGCTTCAAGATAATTATTATTTTTTGATCAAAAGTTGCATTTCTTTTTTTGAATGCAAGATAAGAACATTTAGAAAGAGCATCTAACAAATCTTATTATTTTTTAGATTGATAAGTAATTTAAAATCAAATCTTGATAAATACATATTTCAATTAGTTTGGCAATGATTCAAAATACATATAGATATGAAATATTTGAGGTTCTTGTTATTCATATATATATAGTGATTAGAATAAAAGAGCCTTCTAGATAATGATGCCATTTTTGAAATGAACCATAATTACAAGAAGTTCTTTATTGTAGATCTTATAATTAATCTTGGTTGTTGAAAATTCTTTGGAATGAAAAGCTATTGGATAGAACTTATTATTTGCCTCCATTTGCAAAAATACTACATTCATAACAAATTTTGATGTGTATATTTCCATAAAGAATATCTTAGAAAAATTAACATAATATAAGATTGGTACAAAAATAAATGTTGTCTTCAAGGCTTTAAAAGATACTTCAACTTCTTTACTCCATTCAAGTTTGTCTTTATATATTAAATATATAAAAAGAGTATTAACTTGAAAAAAATTTGATAAAGATCTGATAATAATTGGTAAATTTCAAAAAATATTACATATCTCTAATTATTTTTGAAACCCTTCTAATCTATGATAGTCTGTATTTTTTTAGGATCCATCATAAGGCCATCATTTGAAATGATATATCCTAAAAAAATAACTTGAATAGTGTGAAATATACACCTTTCTATCTTATATCTCTAAGTTTTTGTAGTATGCAATGAACATAAAGTTCATGGTGTTCTGTAATTTTAGAACACATTAAAATGTTATCTAGATAATAAACAATAAAATCATCAAGAAACTCTCAAAAGACATCATTCGTAAGATATTGAAATATAGCTGGTACATTTGTGAGTCCAAAAGGCATGTCATTATTTTTGAAATATCCATATTTTATTCAAAATAGAATCTTTTATTTATCTTTTTTTTTATGCATACTAGGATGTATGCTCCTCATAGATCTATTTTTGTATAGATCTTTATTTGATTGAATTGATCAAAAAGTCTTAAAATCAAAAGTAGAGGATACTTATTCTTAATGGTGGTGTTGTTGAATTCTCAATAGTCCACATACATTTGCAAAGATCCATCTTTTTTCTTTTCAAATAAAATAAGGTTTTTTGTTGGAGATTTAAAATAGCATATAAAATTTTTGGCCAAATTTTTTTTAATGTACTCCTTCAGTGCAATCAATTTATTTTGTAATAAATTATAGATTAGTCTAAATGGTGGATTGAATTATGTCTTGAAGATTAATGGAACTATCATAGAGACAATGCTTTAGAAGAAAACATGCATTTTTTTTCTTAATTTTTTTTTGATTATTTTAGTATTAATTTGGAATGCCACTTAAAGTCTCTTCTTCATCAAAAATAAATGTGGAGTATCTAGCAAAAAATTTCTCTTCTTGTGTTGTATATAGAAAAGCTCTTGCTCCTATCAACAAGGATTTGGTTTTATTAAACTTATGGATTTTTAGTTGATTAGTAGGATCCTAGAATAAATTACAAAAAAAATCAAAGTTACAAGAAGTTCAATCTATTTGAAGTTTATATTTCTTAGCCACAATAATCCTAAAATAATTGAGTTGAATTAGAATCTAATGACATTGAATATTACTAAGTTATTATGATCTTTACTTGCTACATCTAACAGAATTATTTCATGAGCAATATCTCTGGAGAATAACAAATGACCATTTATGATTTCTACATGTATGGATTTATTTTTCTTAGCTAAAAATATTTCTTTTTTTTTGACAAAGGCTTTGACTGTAAAAGAAGTTGAGGCTCTTCAATCTAGCAAAGTAAAGGCTTTGTGATTTTTTGGTCTCAAATTAATTTCTATAAGAAAATAGTAGGCTCCTAATATTTCTATTTTATTCTTAAATAATTGAATTTCTCTTAAATTTTAAACAAATATTAAAAATCAAGTCTATTATCTATAAAATAATTTTTACTTGAATCCAACTTACTAATTAATGAAAATCTTAGAAACTCTCATTGATCTTTAAATTTTATTTTTTAAGAATTCAATCTTTTTAAACTATAATAACCTTCAATCTAATTTTTTGATTAAGCTCAAATTCATACCACAAATTAAACACAACTTTATTTACAAACTTCCAATTTTTACTCCTAGATTTGTTACAAAATTCATGAAATTGCTCAAAACATCAACCCTATTATATTTCATAAAAACTATAGTCACCCAAAATAACCTTGACTCTACAAAGCTCTTATAGAGTCATTACAAATTCAAATCCTTCAAAATTAATTTTCAAAGAATCTTAAATTGCTTTGCTTTCAAGTTCTTTTCTTTGATTTATAAAAGAACCTTCGAAATAGCATAGGTATTTGGTTTGTACCTTAGAGTCTGATTTTGTCCATAATTGGCAACTAGTCTTCTTTGATATCAATTCTTATTTTTCTTGAGATAATTTTGGCTAAAATCAACTTTTGATTTTTTCTTATAAATGCATATAAATTTCTATTATAAAATAAGATAAAGGATCTAAAGAGAGAATAAAATCTTTACTATGTATTATGCAAGATTTTAACTATATAATTCCTATTATAATTGGAAAAAATCATTTTTTAATACATTATTCTTTTTAGCAATCATACTCTTTATTTTGTAGTTGTGTTACTTTTTTAGATAATATTGAGTAATATGCTTAGATTCTCTATAATATAAGCATAAATCTTTTTGATGGTATCAAGTTTTTTCTTGTTTAATAAGAAGCTTGAAATATATTATATTAATTTGCATAGATTCTAGTTTAAATGAATATACTTTTGTAAACTTAGAGATTGTTGCTATAATTAG